AAAATTAACTGTTATTCAGACAACTTGGATTGTGAGAAATTTTGAAAAAATGCTTTATATGTGGCCTGCTCAAAATCAAGCAATCATTTGTTGAGAACGTACATATGCACGGAGGGCTACCAAAAATCCAAAAATTACATGAACTTATTGGGCTAAATTTTGGTTTTCCTGCATACCTAAATATTCACAGTCGCCGAAAAAAAACACTCTCTTGTGATCATTTTGTCCAGAGCTGTATATTGAAATTTTTTTTGAATAGTTTGCGTATTTTGAAACTTCTCGTTGCGGGAACACTGGTTATTTTTGTTCTCGTTGCAAGTGCATGCGTTCTGCACTTGCAACTATGTTTTCTTCAGCAGTTAGCGCCACTTCTTTGTCAAGGTCGCCTGTATTAGTTCAACTTGTAGTGGCGACTTCGACTCTTGATGCAACACTTTTTCTCATATCGTTGACTTTTTGAACACCAGTCGTCCTTTGGGTTTTTCCCTAGAAATTCTATGGTTGTTAACTCCATAATTTCAACAGATTTATCGCTTTTTCTGTTAGCTTTCGCTCGACAATATTTGATTGACAGTTTGACCAAATCAGTTTGTAGTCATTTTGGTTCTCTCATTTTAGATAGGGCTTGTGACCAGTAACGTACCCCTAACATTTGTTTGTCTTTGAAAACCAGGTAAAATAAACAAGCGCTTCATGGTAATAACTGACAAAATGGTGCAACAAGAATTCAAATATACGCCCCTTTTTATTTCAAACGAAACGGTGAAAAATCGTTTGTTGCCTTCACTTAGCACCATATAGGATTTTATTGTTTCAGACGCGCGAAGGATAAAATATTTCTGTGTTAGATTAAAAGGTAAACAAATTATCGGTAATAAAAAAGGGGGTGAAGTTTTAGTGGGAATATTTTGCTGCGGGGTGATAAAATTGGGGATGTAAAAGAAGGGGCACAATATTAGGAGACCAGCTATCAATTGATGCTCAGGAGAAGAAATAATTGTTCCAAAAACAAGTTCTTTGGGTAGTTTTTGAGACATCGACAAGGGGTAGACAACGATAGAGTAATATGACGTCACTAGGTGGTTTAGATACAATCAAACTTTTTTTAGGCCGAGTAAGCAAAAGAGTCAAATCTAAGAGAATCGAAAAAAAAATATTCCGGACAGAACTTGGTAACTTTCAAACCTACATAAAAAACAATGAAGAGAGCGGGTGTTTAAAATGCTGAAGTGACAGCAAATTTCTAGTGGTTTACGAAAGATAGACGAAAGTGCTGAAAATTTAACACTGAGCCAAAATACATTTCATCGAACAAAAATTCAATTGGTTTGAAGAAAAATGATTTGGCGAAAAAAATTATTACAAACAAACGAAACACAAAACAATCAAACAAATTTTGAATTGCCAAAAAATGTCTATTGTTGACCAAAAAAACAGATTTGAGCAAACTATATACTGATTTTGTTGGACACACCTACAAACTTTGATTAGTAATTTCCGTTTACACTGTCCTATTGTTACAAAAATTAGCATGCGGACTAATCAAGTTATGACAAGCATATTTATTCTTCATATCTAACCTTGTAAAACCCTCGTTACACCATAAAATTGATGCTTACGTGAGTTGGGGAAATTGAAAAAGAGCCAGCCTATGTTCGAAATAATAAGGCTTGGTAATAGCAAGCAAGCACTATCATCACATCTGTAATGAATCCGTGCACATTAATGGATCAGTCCAAAAAAGCTGAAAATTAAAAAAAAAAACAGGTAGCGATCGGATGCCAACCACAAACATTTGTCTTCTGACGCAGCTGTGTTACCTCTACGCGGCAAAAAATGAACCAAAATACCAGTCACCGAATGAAAATCATTAAACTTTTGAAAACTTATTTGGCATTTTTTTACGAATCAATTGCATTACTAAAAACAAAATAACTGTTAAATTACCGTCATGCTTAAAATTAGTATATGACCAATTTCTGCCTTTTTTTTAGGCAAAAAGTTCATGGGAAAAACTTAGATTCTATTACTCCCAGGGTAACTTAGATTCTAAGCTAATTTTTTAATTTTCTTTGGTTTTTTAGCAAGCTGCTATGGGCTGAACAATCGACTACAGCATACTTAACTACTGTACTTTTGCAGGACTTAAGCTAATATATCCGCCGGATTTACTATCGGAACCACAAAAACTATCCGAGAAAAGCAGCAGCTTTAGTAAAATTGTTCAGTTTATTTACGAACAAAACTTATCGATACAAAACAAAAAGAGGCTGATACATATTGAAGAGATTTACTTCAAATGATGATAAACAATCTAAAATTGTCAGAAAATCAAAAAATATATCAAAAAAACAACATGAATTAAAAAACCATAACATTGAGAAAAAACATGAGTTGAAACTTGTAAAATTAACTGTTCGAATTCAAGCTATTTCTTCTTCTGGGAAACACACTTGGAGAATGTGTGTTTAGCGTCGTCTTTAAAACCTCACCAAATTTTGTTGTCTTCTAGTCAGCTGACGTTCTATGTTCTATTTGACTCCCAAAATTTTATTGTAAGTAAGTTTTTTTTACACAGAGACGAAGCGAAAGTTCGCACCATTTGTGGTGCTACACAAACGTGGCAGAACAATTTACCACTAAGAATTAAGACGAAAGCCGCTAAGTCGAAAATGTTCTTAAACATGTCGAGAACAGTTGGATTTAAAAAATTATTATGACAACGAAAATAGTTTTTCAAAACTGAAATTCGAAGTTTGAGGAAAAACTGAAAAAACACTTTTGCAAAATTTTGTCTTGAAAAAAATCATTAGAAAAAAATTTGATAAAAACATATTGAAAACGGTTAAACTTATTCAAAATTTAACATTTACCAAATACAAAACAGCTTTCAATTATACTATAAACTGTTTAAATCTAAATAAAAACCATTTTTTTAGAATTAAAGCTGCTAAAAAGCACTGAATATTAAAAGGCATTTGGAAATAAGGACGAAAAATGCGAATCCGAAAAAAGTTTTCACAAAATTTATTTGAAATTTTTTTTTAATCTACAATGAAATAAAAAGTAGTTTCATTTGAATTTTCTAGACACTGAGCTTGTTAAAGCGGCCTGCACTCAGAAGTAAGTGCAATAGTATTTCTTACGCATTTGCAAGAAAAGTTGTTTGTGGGAAAGAAGCCTAGTTCTCGATTACAAGTACAATTGCACTCGCAAGTAATAAAGGCAATTGATCCATGAAAGTTCATTTACGAGAGCTTTGCTCGTCAAACTACATTGATTTATTATTTAAATTAGTATTTGTAGAATTCAAATGTGTACGCGACACGCAAATGTGGTGTTCTGATTTATTGAAATTTCAACTAGTTTGTCTATCATTTTTTCATAACTGTTTTTGAGAAAAACTTTGCAATTTTCAAATTCAATTATCAGTTTGGTTGTTTTATTCTGTGCTACATTGGGCAGCACCCGAATATTTTTTTCAAGAATCAGTTAAGTGAAAATATCATTTCTTAGCCCTAGTCTAACAACATTAATCCAGTAGCACCAGACTGTCCACATGGGGAGAGTAAAAAGTGACCATCACAATTTTGTAATAAGTGACCAAAACAACATAAAAAAGTGACCAAGAGTGACCTTTGCTCTCCAACACTCAAAGAAATAAACATTCAAGGCGGTCAAAAAACTTAATTTAGCTGTAATTAAACTAAAAAAGTTGTTCGATGAAAAAGGTAACGAGAAGTTTTCTTGCCGAAAACAACATAGGATATCCAGAATTCAATGCAAATTTTCCCATTATAAGTTGTCTCGTCTAGATGCAGGATATAGCGTTTCATAAAAAGCTGATTTCTGAGTTGCTTCCGTAGGTTAACATTTTAGAAAGGTGACTTTGAGACAAAGAGCGACCAAAATGTAACCAAAAGTGACTGGTCACTGATGAGTGACCAAAGTGGTCAGTATGAGAAGCACGCTTGCGATTGACGCTCTTATTGATTGATTCCATATGATGAAAATTTAGCAGGTTACTGGGCAAATAGCACAATGATCCGACCATTCTTAAGACAATGCTTTTTTTCCAAATAATCGTCGTTGTTTTTCTGTGTGGTGTGATAAAAAAATCAGAACGAAAAAATAGTATTTAGTCATATTCGAGAGAAATAGTCGAATAAGCGAGTTGGAGAACAGTTTTTGTAGAAAAAGACTTTAAAAAATGAAAAAAAAATCGTGAAACTTTTTTTGAAATTCCCAAAATTTTGCCGAACTTCCTGAAAAATAATCGGTTTTTTGGAATATTGCTCATCAATAGCCTAAATTTGTCTTTTCCTCCAGAATTTTTTTAAACTGCGCTTTCTTTTTAAATTTTTCACGTCCCTTAACGCATTACTTAGATCATATAACTTATCTGATATGATTTTTGGGTCAGCTTTAAGTCGGATTAATTTTTCTGCTACACGTTAAAAGAACGAAGTTCATTGCGCGTAAAATCTATCACTTTGGCAGTTTTCAAAATCCCTTAATTTGCAAAAAAATGCATTTAACTTATCTTTTGATATTTGACTCCAGAGAATCGATATCTTTCAAAGCACTTTTAGAAATCAAACAAAATCTCAGGTTAAAAAGCCGAAATTTACCTGAACAAAAGAAGGCTATGGCGCACAAATTTGACGTCACTTTCTTAATAATTTAGTTTCTGTGAATCGCAGATAATTTGGTTTCTGTGAATTGCAGTTGACGTTCTTAGAAGTCTGTTTCCTATTATTTTTCCACATTTTAGACGGCGTTAATTCTTCGATCAAATCTCTTTTTCTGCTACTCGTGGTCTTTTTATAGAACTTTCTCGTGATTCCACTATTAAGCGGAGAGATCGATTATGCTGTGACAGAGAGCCCAGCTGTGCCTCACACTAATATTGCCACGGCTGCGGACCGAATACGCAATCTGTCAACCTCAAACCAGACGCCTAACTACCAGCACTTGCTTTCACTCTTTTTTGAAAACAATTATGATAAAAATTATATTTCAAACATTAATACTTATACTAACTTTCTATATACAATAAAAAGTACAAACTTGACGCAGATTGAAATTGGATAGCAAAAAAGCGGAATGTGATTTCCCTCAAAAACATCATAGGCTCAGTCCATTAAGTTCTGTTAGATTGGAGAGTACATTAAAAGTCGAACAATTCGGGATAAAATATCAAAAATATTTAATCTTAATTAATTAATCAATGCTCACTCAAGTAGTTTATGATAATTTTAAGTCTCTACTATTTTTCTTTCCTCGAAGATCTCGACATACTTTCGGGTCGATGTTTTCAGCTTTTAGCTCAAAGTTGTTTAGCGTCTAAAAATCAGATACAATTGAAACCTTTCTTCATACGACCGGACATTTCTTGGATTGTCGCGCGTAGAATAATAAATTCTTTTCGTTAGCACCTGTGAATTGTAGTTTGTGTATTACCTCGCGACACTATTTAATTGCGTTAGTTCCGCTCTTTTCCATCTAGTGAGCTTCTTTTCCTCCACCCGGAGAGCAGCATATCTGAGATGTTTACTTTCTAAATTGAGAACCCGAGGAGAGACATAGCGATACGATAGAAAAGCGAAGTCGAATAATGAATTTTGTAATCTAATTGCAGGAGAGGATAAAGGGAGTGGGGTCTTTATTCTGTATTGTCTCTACTTCTGGGCTCATTCCATAGTTGATAGAAGTAGTATTTGCTATTTTAGGGGCCCATTTCAGGCCGGGACACCAAAGGTGCAGCTGTTTCAGAATCTTCTGGGGGTTCGTGTTTTGGTTCTAAACTATGAGGAGGCGGACACTGGGGCGACACTTGGGGTCATGGAGGTAGTTGCAGGTGTGAACATGCCTTGACTTGCGGCGTGAAGAGCTGCGGCTGGGAAAGTGGCCGATGTTGAGGGTGCTATTTGGGCGTTGTGAGGGGGTCCTCCTGGGACTGAAGAGGGGGAGTAGTCGAGGGTGTTCAGTTTGGTAAGTTGGGTGTGAAGTTCTTTGAAATTGGGTCTAAGATCGGGTGATGGATGCCAGCACTTGTTCATCAAGTCAAACACTTCGCTCGGACAATTGTTCGGCTGGGGCAGCGTTTCACTCTCTTTCTTCTCCCAGATATTGGCTGAAACACAAAATCACACCATATTAGACACTAAATGAACATTCTCAATTTGTTTTTTTTTGTTATTACAATTTGATAAAATTAGACTAATAGAGCTCATACTAGAACCGATGCAACCGATGCGAGTACATAATTCATCCTTGCCATGTGCTTTTAATATGTTATTTTTTTAAAATAAAAATTAACTCTCAACTTGAAATAAAGATTTCACAAATGTTTCGACTTAACGACATCCGTTCCTTCACTTCACAATGTCACTTCAATTTCCAACTGAAAACTGAACTAAATTTGTTTGTTAAAACATTGCCTCTAAGTAACAGCATTAATTGAAGGTGACAGCATTAATGTTACCAAGATAGAGGGGGGGGGGGGGGGGAATTAATGAAAGGGAATGAGGGCGCCTTACTGAGGTTCTCGATGACTTGTTCGTCGGTCCTGTTTGAGAATGGCTGGCACTTGGCCAGAGTAAACAACTCCCACAACATCACTCCGAAACTCCAGACGTCGCTCTTGTTGCTGAATTTGCCCTGCAACACAAACAAATTTAACTCAAATGATGGCATAAATTACTTTGCTTAATTCAATGTTGTTCACTACTTTGCTTAATTCTCGTCTGTTTTTTTTAGTCATGAAGATTTTTAAAATTCTGAACATCAAAAAGATATTAAAAGAGTTCAAAAGTGTTAAAAAAAATGAAAGAGGTAAAAATCACCCAAGTTATATGGTCAACAAATTAAAGCTTTACCACGAGATCAGGATGCAAAAAACTGTACGAGTTGCAGGTGTACACTCAATTCAATCAACGCAACTCATTTAGAATTAAATAAATTTTTAGCTGCCGAACATGATCCTTGTGTGGGACCCGATATTACACAGGAGAACATCGATACCCAATTTTTCTGGTTTGGAAAAAATCTCAGGTCAAAATTAGGAACAGCAACTGACCATGACAATGGACTCCCAGGCCATCCACCTGATGGGGAGAACAGCCTTGCCCTCGATCTTGTAGTAGTCATTCGAGTACAACTCCCTCGACATGCCGAAGTCTCCTATCTTCACAGTGTAGGACAGTCCGACCAGACAGTTCCTCGAAGCCAAGTCGCGGTGGATGAAGTTGACACTCTCTACGTGGGACATGCCAGCTGCTATTTGCCTCGCCATGTACACAAGAGTTCCCGCACTGCAACACAACAAACGATATTATCTTGGTTCTCATTCATTTTACCCTACAAATTTTTAACCCTCAAATTTTCACCCTATTTTTTTCATTAATTTTCACGATGGCGTTTTTGATATCAAACTCAGAGCGTATTCAAAATATAACACTGTTTGCAGTAACTACCTTTATACGGAAAAAATATAAATAAATTTACTTAATTGAGCTAAGGGATTGATCAGAACTTGACATTTTGAAACACCTCAGCATGATTAAATGGTACACCTTAACTTTTAACCACACATTTTCATTAAAAGCCTTAAAGAAATCAAGATAAGAAAGCTGTTTAATAAATGTTAGCTTTACAATTTTATACAAAAACAAAAACTATGAGCTGGGAATAGAAAACAACGCTAGATCTACTTAATAGGGAGTCGACATGTAAACAAAAGGTGCAATTTATGCTTTTTGGAATACTGTTTTAAAAATGTGTATCTACAATCTACTTGTCAACAGATAGAAGGGCACAAATTAGAGAAGATAAAATACAACTTTGAGAGTTGAAATAACTGATCAAATTGGCCATTGACTTTAGAAGCTCTACTCAAAACCTAATATTCGGCTAACTGCAGCTTTTAGTAGCTGAATATTAACTCAACAGAAAATAATTCTAATGTGCTCAAATCAGCTTATAGAGCCAAGATCAACCTACTTATGACTTCATCAAAACTACTTCAAATTGATATTTAAGAAAAATCTTGTCTCATAAAAAATCGTGAGAATCGAAACAGGTAATGATTTTTAACAAAAATCAGCTCATCTGCCTATTTATTAAACCACTATTCAAAAACAGTATCAACCCCGTCCCTAATCATCTTATAACCTGACAAATGAATATAAAAAAGAGGGCCGATCTAATAAAACGAAGCTGATGATGCGTCACCATTAAGTAGTTCATCCAATATTCAATTTGACACCGGGTTTAATTCACTCTGTTTGACTTAATCGACCTGGAAGCAACTCTAATTCGCTGTTCCGGTTCGGCGAAATAGCAATATCAATTCCAGAGCAATTATGGCACAACGGGTAATATTCCCGACGGTTTAATCTCTCCGTAATTACTCGTCCGGTTTTTCCTAGGCCCTTTCCCTCAAATTGTCTTCACACATGATATGCATCATCTCAGGGGGTAAATTAGATATAAAAAAAACAACCAAGCCTCATTTTCTGCCTCTATTTTGAAGCAATTTTGACTAAAAACAAAACGAAATAAGAAATCATCTGATCCGATCAAAGATTTTTTTTTTCACACTTTTCTTTTGGACCTTTCTCATTTTTTTTTGTGGATTTGCAGATTTAAGTTGATTTTTTCATTTGTATTATAATTTTCTTTTCAAACATTTCTCATTTTCCTTATTTGTTCAAGCTGGAATTCCAATTTTTCAGCAAACAGCAAATACGCAATTTTAGTTCCTGAGCAGGTGATTTATGTATGATTTCTTGCGCATCAGAGGAAAAAAACACTGCTCTCAGGTGACAAAGCTCGTTGGGTGAATTATTGATGAACTATCGTAAAACAGATCGCACACCTTTTACAGGGCAACCATCTTCCCAGCAAGATTGGCAGTTTAATTACGGTAAATTTAAGCACTCAAAAGAGCTGCATAGCAAAAAAAATCAACCGACAGTCAACTAGAAAAATATCAGAACTCAAAAAACTGTAGTAAATGGACTGATGATTTCTGAAGCAGTTTCAAAGAAAGAACAGAGCCCACAATAAGTTGCAAAAATGTCAATGAATAAGGTAACCGACCAAAAAGTGATGGAATTTCAAAGTTAAGCTTTTCGACTTTCAAAAATCGTTTATAATTTGTACTTTTTTCGAAAAACTAAACCGAATAGAGATAATCTGGATCAATAGGTATTTTCTTTACTCCGCTGGAAATCAAAAAATTATATCCGCTTTCGAACCTAGAAACCCTTTAAGTTTTTAGCACCATTTGCACTTTCGTAATTGGAGAGCGTAATTCGTCTTTATTTGAGCAAATGAACTTGAATAGAACATTAAAAAAAGGAAACTGCAAAAACTCATAATAGAGCGTGAACAAACTTTCAAACTTACTCTAAAAAAATGCAGTTAGCTTCTCGCATCGTATTAAAAAACCAAATTGCTTGCCTCAATGCAATTTGGAATGATTTAAATTACTGCTAGTGCGTATTATAAAAAAGTACCTTATCGCGCGTGAGTAATTCCAGATTGGCCAAACTAGCAATTTTCAAACTCGACAACTTTACAAAAATGATAACAGGTTCAAAATATTTTCAAGTTTGAGCTCAGCACAACGATATCTTTTAGATGACAAAATTGATTGTCAAAAACCCCTTAGTTGAAAAGCCGAAACTTGACTGATGAACAAACGCCAAGCATAAACAATTGGTCACTTTCTTCGGAAGTTGGAACAAAAACATCGTTTGCCTGATATTCACAAATAATACAAATCAAAAAAAGTTTTAAAAAAATAGCCAACAGAGTCAATGAACGCAAGTAAACAGAAAAAAAATACAGACTTGTTCTTTGGAACAATCTCGCTGAAAAAATCTTTAGAATTTCAAAGAAAAAAATAAATGCCCTTAAAGCTCTTTGATGTTCTCTAGAACAATTTATGATTGACACTTTTTTTGATAAAACTAACCCAATTTGAGAAAACTTGATCAATAAAAGTAAAAAAAAGTAAAATTTATTTTCGTACCTTTACACTTCTACTGTTCGAGAAGCGAATTTGCCTTCAGCTTAACAACGGAAATTAACTGAACTTTAAAAGATCAGAAGTCAAACAGCGAAAAAAAAGACCCTTACAGAAATACGAAAAAAAATCATTGAGACATATATAAGAGTCGGAACTATGTTCATCGAATCTAAATAAATGTCTTCAAATCGTTCATTGCCACTTCAAAAATTTTTAAAAATCCTAAATTGAACTTGGAAAACTGTAGAAACGAAACATGTCTATTGATTTAACGATGATTTGAATAAAGATAGAGAACAAACAGAATAGTCAAAGTAGGGTTAGAAAATGATTTTCTCAATTGAAGTTTGAACTTTCTGGTTTTGATATTAAATTTCGTCAACTTATAGAAGGCCAGGTTGGAAACACGCTAAAAATGTGTGAACTTTCGATAATGATACCAATATAAATTTGGTGAGGTTAAATCAGGGCATACATTTTTTCCATATACCAGTTATATTACATACACATAAAATCATTTAAGTAAATTGATGAAACGTTCCAAATTAAAAAAAAAATGAAAAATTGTATACTCTGCTGTAATGACACCACATGTATTTTTAAAACTAAAACAGTAGGATTGGGTCTAATTAAGAGGTCAACAGGAGAAGTTCAGCTCGAAGTGAACTACTTCTACAACACAGGTACACAGTACAGTACAGTACAGTACAGTAGAGGTCACTTTGCATTTTGATGAGTGTGGTAAGGGTAATATTTTTATTCTTTGGGTGAGTAACCAATTAGCCAATTAGGTAATGGGTAGTTTATTGGATTTAATTGGATTGAATTGAGCTGTACTGACCCAAGGGTACGGCAGATTCCTCCGAGACCGCTGCAGAAAGAGCATTATTAGACTTGCAGAAAAATAAGAAGTCAGATAGCCTACATCTAACACTAGCTTTTTCAATGCTAAATGTGCATTCAATTCATTATTCATACCAAACGCAATTCAGAAATTGAACTCAATTATTCTCTTCAAACTATTTGTATAAGAAATCTTTATATGATTCTGTTTTTTTTTTCGGATTGCATTATATTTTTTTTGCAACGGAAGTCATTTTCAAGATTCAGATGGTTAAATTTTGGGAGTCAGAAGCGTGGTTTAGAGGCAAACGACGTCCAGTTTTTCCTATTGATACGTTTCATTTCACATGAAGCTCTTGACCCCCGCATTTCACTGATGTTTCCACTTACTGGTGTAACCAGGAACAATTATTATTAAAACAGAAAGGAAAAGAAAATCTACTGAGCCACTTTAAAGTAAAAATTGGAAACATTCAAATAAAAATTGGAGAAATCATGAAATCGAAAAAATAATCAGACTTTTAAAAATTGATTGTTTGTTTCCATGACTGAATAATAAGCAAAATCAATGAAGTTAAATTGGTCAACTAAAAAGGTGTGTGATTTGTCAACTCAAGAGTTCGTTTTCTGCTAACGCCTGTCTAACTTCATGTGAACGCAATTTTATATTCTTTATCTTCAATCAAAGACCAACTTATCTTTCAAGGGCTAAATTGAATTAAGCACTTCATTGGCAATGCTTAAAAAGCCAGCAGTCTTTCAACTTGCTATGCATTAGACATGCAATAAAAAAGTCCATTGAAGTTTTTTTTTACCTCTCAAATAACACATCACAAATTTTCATTGCCCGCATACTTTTGAAACATTTCCTAATAAACTAAGTGAAATCAAGTTTTCGCATTACAAAAAACTAGCAAAACCTCAAGTCAACATTATGTTTTTGGCAAGCTTTAACTACTGTCATCATATAACTACAATCTGTAAAAAAAAGACCGTGAAAACACTATTTACTCACAATTAATTCACGCATGTCATTCTCACCTAAGTGTTTGTATATTTGAAGATGAAGCGTATGTTCCCACTTCCGGTTCGTGTCTCCTCAGAAACTGGTACAGATCTCCGTTCTCCATAAACTCCAATATCATCATCGGGGGACCACTTCGCGTGCACACGCCATAGAGCATGATGATGTTCGGGTGACGCAAATCCGACAAAACTTTCACTTCTTTCTTGAACGCCTCTCTAGAATCAAAATGTCAATCTAGTATGACATGGTGATTTTGCATACGAAAATAGACCATGCAATGTTAATGTTTATGATTAAGATGCCGATGCGGCTACTCAAACCGAAGCAATGTTTTCACCAGATAAATCTTTAAAAGGAAATGTTTCACTTTGTAGCGCATCCTTGACATTGTTCTGCTCATGTACTAACTTGATCACTGCGTTCATGAAGCTGTGAAACATACTCAAGATAACTTCTAATTACAAAAAAATGCTTTTCTCAAAACATGAGTTCAAGAAACATTAGAAGACGATTCTATGAAAAAGTTTCAGCAATATGTATCGATGAATGAAATTTTCAGCCGACATTATTGCCTTCGTTATGTTCCGCTCTACTTCATTCCCTCATCTATAAACCTTTATTTCTTTCAGTAATCTAAATGTACTTATAGCACACTAGGTTGTGGGTCGAACCAACCTCTGTTCGTACAATGCATCTTGGTGTAGGAACTTCACGGCCACTTTCACAGGTGTGTCTGGATTTGAGTCTCTGATTCCAGGAGCCAGACATAGATGTACAGTAGCAAACTGGCCTTTTCCCAATTCTTTTAGGAAAACTAGGTTCTGTTTGGGGTATTCCAACACGTTGCTCATCTCAAAAGTGCCTCCGAAGATTCCGCTCTGAAATGACCCACAGATTACTCATGAATCCTCCTTACTAAGTAAGTTCAAATTGGGATAAAGCGAACATCAAGTTCATTCTTTGAGAGTGGAAAAAAACAGCTGAAGTATAAACGAGCCTTAAATAAGCATAAAATAAATTAGTTAACGTTACATAATTTGCGTTTAAATCTTCACAGGGCGCGGCTATAGCATTTTCTCGAGGGGTCCCTTATTCGCCAAATTTTCCGAGGTGAATTAAAAAAATAGCCTATAGAGAAGTTTGGGAAATTTTTTGGACATAATCACCAAAAAATTGACCCCCCCCCCTCCTTGAAATTTTGTATGAATTGGCATCCAAGGCCGATAAAAAATGTCGTAAAAAATGGTCTCATTGAATGCCCAGAAGGTCAAATCACTGAAAGTGGGAGAGGTGAAAACCGCATGCCCTTTTCCTAAATCCGCTAAGGAGTCTGCATATGTGTTGCATGCCAGTTGCGGAACTGTCTGAAATTATTGCCTGTCTTTTACTTCAGCTGGTTTTTGTACCACTAATTTTTCCATGTGCGGCAAACTCAAATCAAACGAAGGATAGAGTAGAGGAAAGGAAACTGCAGTTTCCTATTCAAAAAGCGTATGCAACATACCATGCAACGAAAAACACCAGTCTCAAATCTTTCGACTATGTGAAACAAAAACCTAGGCTACTTTGACTGCGAGTTCATCTTTTACAGAATTAGACTGCTTTTAGTTAATTATTCACGATTCATTAGATGAAGCAGGTCATGCGTTCGAGACTCGGTGATCCTAGTGAAAAAGACAAATTTGGAAATCAATCGCTGATTTTCGGGTCAATTTTTTTTTTTGAAGTTTTGTTTTATATTTATTTTCAGTTAATTGTCTTTAATTACATTTAATTGTTTAATACATTTAATACGTTTAATTGTCTTTAAAACATCTTTGGCAACATGATAGTTCAGTCCAATGAACGTTATAGGGGGAAGCGAAGCGATGTTAAACATCAGGTAGCTCTTACTTTGAATTGTCAACCAAACTTCAATTTGAACTTTTAGTTAAAAACAAATACGTCATCAAACAGTCGAATGGCTTGATATCACTTTTTGAAATCCCAGTATATATTTTTCGGGTATACTTCTGTATCAGATACGTAAAAACAGGAATTTCCGCTGATTTGAATATGATCACAAGCGCAAAAGTAGCTATAAGTAGTAATTCGGAAGATAAGCTTATAACGTTTATTTGCATAATAATACCAACAATTCTCACAAAACACAACAAAGGTGTAAATCTCATCAGACTAAGCAACACTGACTAAAGCATCAAAAAGGGATTTTGTTTTCACAGACACGGAAAGCTTTGCACTTGATTCCATATTGATACACACCACAAAAGAGCACATGTACGCAAATTTTCACTTCAAAAACATAGGATCTGGCCTCAAATGGGCATCGGTCAAACATCAAAGACACCACACCGACAAAGTTGACTCTATTTGCATAATTCACAAAGGGTCCCACGACTGTTATTTTCAAAAGGATTAAACTAATTTGGCATAGATGGGGGATAAAAAAGCCCCATTTCCCAGCAATGAAAAAAAAACAATTTTACGGTTGAAGAACGCCAATAAATTGGTTGGCGTATATTTTAATATTACATCATAAAACAAAGCCAGAACTCACTCAAATCATTTCAGCTGCCATGCATTTTAAATTTTGTGCCTACGTTCAAACCGCTTTAAATTCAATGCACCAATTTTTGATTAAATAATTCGTAAAATGATAAGCTTGCTCGCGATGATTTTTTAAAAAAAAATTACAGTTGATTAATAAAAATTTCAAGTTTGTTTGCAATGTTTTACTTCTGCAAAACAAAACGCTCAAAATACACATGGCAATTCTCAGTAACTAATCTACAAGCGATACAGTGCTCTTCCGTAATGATGGTATATGACTTCAGTGCATATCTAACTTATCTGCATATTCATACCAACAACACAGCCAACAGTGAACTTTGGAGCACTAAGGGTAGGGGTCGTCACGTCATATCGAATACTTAATACAATACTTAACGTACGTCAATGGCATCCTCCGCCGCTTCCTTGAAAAAGAAAGATAAACTCGTTTGGTTGATGTAAGTTGGTCACTTAGTAGCATTGCCATTACATTTGAACAAGCTGTTAAGTAACTATTTTTCCAGTCCCCTTCAACATTTTTGTAAACAATAAATGAAAACAATATTTTTCCTCATTTTCAATCAGTAAACAACTTCCACATTCATAATAGTTCAGAAAGTTTCCTTTTCAGAGACTAAGCAACAAATTGGACACATAATATGTCAATCAAATACAGAACAAAATATCTTTGCTATCGTCAACGAAAATTTAAGAAAGGGGCTGGAAAAAGGCCAGCAGACACATTCCATTGTCTGGTAATTCGTGGCCAAATGAGTCATGAAAGCAACAACTGTTTACTCTGTTAATTCCACCACAAATTTGCTTAATGTACATCAGATGCGAAAAGGATGTCAAAAAAGCTTCAAAACATATAAGCGACAAATGCATTCCCTTATGAATTCGCATGTCATTATGTACTAAAAAATACCCACCAGTAATTCGTTCTAAACACAAAGCCAAAACCAGTGAAAATATCAGCTCCAAAATAAGCCCATCCATTATACTCACTTTTATGATTTTAATACAAGATTTTTTCCTTTAAAACTACGGGCTGAGCAACTTGATAGGCGTAATAATGAAACGCAAAAAGAGCATCAAGAACGTGATAATTAGTTTGATCGTGAAACTCATTCGCGATGTAATTAAAATGTAATAATTTTAACTAAAATGACTATTTCTATCGAAATAAGCGGATGATGATCTTCGCAAACTTAACATCACATTTTTCGATCCAGACCCGTGTTGAAGAGTCATTAATTGTTTACCTGTATCTGGGTAATGTCCGTTTCGGCGTAAGCTCTAGCCACATTTCTGGCTAATGAGTCGCTACCTCCTGCGCCTCTGGTTAGCGTGGTCTGGTCTCGAATTTGGGATACCAGATCTGGCTCTGTGTATATTCTAGACGATGCCAAGGACCCTAAACACGAAAGAAATTAAAACTAAGTTAAATTTATGAAAATATATGTCACCACTTTATGGCTGATGTTAATATAAATTCAATGTTTTGTTTCGAAATTATCAAATTATTGATAGATTTTTGAATTTTGATACATGAATTATTGAAAAATTATGTTAATGATGATTATTAAACTTCATTATTCAGACAAAATTTATGATACGATGCTTCAGGGTCAATAACATTGATCAAATCCATAAAAGCTCTTCTAATAATGATATATGAGACCCAAATTTAACTGATCAATTATTCTTTGCAGCCGTTTGAACCCAATTTAATTGCGCTTAACTTGACTGGAGAGCAATAAGTTGGTAATAAAATTGGAATTGCAAAGCCAGGTCAAAGAAGAAATACATGTATAGAAGTCTGTTTTAGTGAAGGCCAATTTGATTGAATATCAGAACAGGATGTAAGGATGGAACTAAAAACATGTAAGACATGAGCACACTTGTTAATATGAAGACACTAGTTAAGAAAAAGGATCTACTTAACAACTTCCCGCCCCTCCCCTTTCATAAAATTGGGGGGGGGGGGGGAATTGTTTAGTAGATTTTGTCGAATTTTGACCGCTCAGAATGTAGAAAATTAGAATTCTCAATTGGTGCTCTAGTGCTATTTACTGTTTCGATGCCGACTTTAAAAGATACCATAGGGACAGATTGCTACGTAGATCCGAGAAAAAAATTAGAAAGCTACACAATCAGATCTTTTTGTGGTTCGTCTAATGATAATAACTGCATTTCTGATCTCATAAAATAGTTCTATAAATTAAGCAACCCTAGCGTTAAAACCCAGCTGACATCAAGATAATGATCGATTTTGAGGACAACTTCTGTGATGTTGTCAAATTGGGAACAGAGCTCTTCGGTTCGGTTGACTTCTATGGATCCTTTCTTCAACAAAAACTGCGCATGAGGATGAACCTGATTTTGATGCTGAGTCAAATTTGATTTTGATTGCCATTCTATTGATATATTTTCCATCCATGTTCGACTCACAGTAAAATGGTTCGGTTTTTGAATCTCGTGCTTTTCCAATTTTTTCACGGCGAATTGATGGTCGTTTCGGCAAACTAGAGTTACGTTTCAATTCATTACGCGGCGTTGCGCCTACACTGAAGCGTTTTGCCAGCGCATCCCGTTGTTTCCGCATTCTTGCAATTCGCGGTGAATTTTTCCCTTGCAGAGATGCAGATCTTCTCGGCGATTCCGAGGAAACTAAGCCTCGAGGCAAGCGTTTTCTTCGCCTTCTTGTACCTGATTCAGTCATGTTGTCATGTTAAAACTACTTTCAGCCTCACGTTTAAAAAAAGCATTTCTCCCATGTCAAACAAACCCATCTTTCTTATAATATTAATAAGAGACAAATCAAATTTTAAAGTAAAGTAATTAGGCAGCATTTGACAGAGAACCTGAAACCTGACAAAACAAATTAGGAGGATAAAACAGTGCTTCGTGAAACTTTTAAAACTACAGCTAAAAAGTAGTATTTGACCATTTTCTGACTTTTACATCTACTTTACACATTTGCCAATTTTCTACTACGAATGGGCTTTTGAGTTGACGTGATGATAAAACAAAATAAGGTTAATAAAACTGGTGATTGGTATAACTGGTAAGAGCCAATCTAGTTTAGAGGAAGCGACAGAAATAAAAAAGAGAGAAGAACGCAGTAGCAACAATAGGAAACCTGAGAAAGGACAGGACAAATTAGGAAAAGTTCTTCAGTAGTAGTGTACAAACTTTGCGACAGTCGAATTACGCTGACTGCCTTGTAGTTCTTTCCCAAGTCACCTTCGAAGAAAAAGCGCAAGTTAAAATGCGAAGCCTAAAAATCTACGTACATCTGAAAATTTCAAATGCAATTCCTGCGTAGAATTTGAATTTCCATCTTTGAAAGGGTGCTAAAAGATTTCAGGATAGACTTTCAATCAAACAATCTGTTTTGATTTGATGAAGTTTCAGAGAATTAGTCACTTTTCCCGGACAGTTGTTTTCAAAATCATACGCTTTAGCGCTTCATTAGCAAGAAATTATGTCACCATATTTCAATTATCGTAATTTTCTTGTCTTGTGTTGGTCAATATTTAACTTCTTTAGAACATTTCACTTCTTTCATAAATACTGTTAACGTTCGAAAGATAAACTAAAATGGCTGAATTGCATTATCAGAAAAAAGTATTATTTTTGATGATCTTACCATCATGGGGTGGGTATCCAGGGTGGTGTGGGGGTATGTCTGGCAGTTGGCGTCCGTTGGATGCCAGATCTAGGGTTGTGTTCATGTGATATCTGGGGGTCTCATATTGGTCCAGTTGGGACAGTGCCTGGTAGGGGTGCTCACTCGGGGGTCCCGCACCGAAGAACTCTCCCTTCGAGTAGGCTGAAACAAAACCCATTTTTGATGGAAGCTTAATTTAAACAAACTACTAAAATCTGCAAACTTAAGCTATAGTGTGCCCAAAATCATAAACACAACGGGTCAATTGTAATTTTGTTTGTCAAACTGATTCTAGATAGATGAAATCACCAAAAAAACATGAAGAAACATTTTTTAAGCAAAAATACAACATTTCTTTGAGATTAATCCGTTCGTTAAAAATTGGACGTAAATGCTAGCCATGTTTAAAAAACTCAAGACCGTTATAGGGGAAAGCAATATTTGAATATAAACCTGATTCGTATTTCTTCTTCAATTTCAGCTTCTTTTTCCTATACCACATCCAGCCGACTCCCAGTCCAATAATGGTCAAAATCACACCACACAAAATAGCCAACACTATGATGAACATCGTCAGGTACTTCATGTTGTCGCCTGCGATCCCAAACGGAGGCGGATTCGTCGGCCTATTTGCATTGTCCGAATCATCAGGCTTCGTCGGCTTCTTTCCACCGCCGCCCGAGATCGATCCCCCACCACCCCCGCCAGAGACTGCGCTGCTATCGCCGGAGTCTCCTAAAAGCATAATTTGTAGACAGTTACATCACACAGAGCATGATATCATCTTCGAAAGAGGAACATTTTCATGTTTAAACGATCGGTCAATAGTTAAGAAAAGAAAAGCATATAAAGTTCTCAAACAGTGGATTAGCCATTCATAATAAATTTGTTATTCTTTCTTTCGTTTCGTCATACCTCAAATTTTTCTTACGCAGCTACAATTACACAATATGGTACCATACGTTTTTAGAGCAGGTAAAACACGAGCGTAATTTTTTACGCACGGTTTGAGCACTTTTCAAGATTCTTGACAGTAATCAACAAATTTGCACGTTACATATTATAAACTCGGTTAGAAGTAAGTTAATTAGAAACGTTCAGACTGTTAAACGTACTTCTGGACCATTTTTTAACTTCTATTTTTAATTGATTTCTTCACAAATTAGCTGAAATTATTGCCGTACATAATCAGAGCACAAATCATTTAATAGTTATAGACGATTTTGCATGTAAATGTTTTTCTGCAATCACTTACAAACCGCAGATTAGTTTTGAAGGTTTTTGGTTATAGACTCGTTGATACCCTTTCGATTGATTAGTTCTCACACTTTTATGAGCACTATTCATAAGGATTTCCATACCATAATTGGTGTGTAAAAACTTCAGGCAAATCAACTATTTAACGATTAACAGCACAATGGTTCTTAACTATGGTCAAAAGTAATCAACTGATTTTTGAGGATGAGATCTTAAGAATGGTTGAGATCAATAAAGTCGAGTAACCAAAATCATTTAAAAACTGGTTGACGATATCAATACAGCGACTAACAATATTGAAATCAATTTCAATTTCAGCAGCAAAATTAAAAACAACTGATAAATTAACGGATTATTGCGACATAGCTAACAGAAGTTGGAAAAAATCCAGAAATTTTTTTTCAAATTTCGAATTTAAAAAATACGTCGCATTAAAGCTCTTCAAATTTCAAGAACCTGCTATCGCACTTTTCTGTAAGCCTAATTCAATTAAAGAAAAACTTGGCCAATAAGAATAAAGAAATCAAAGACAAGCTTAATAACAAGGATAGTCGGTTACTGTGCAAATAGCACAGAGTTCCGACCACAGTCTAATCAAACACACAAAAAAGTTTCTTCTTTGATATTAATGTCGTTTTTTTCTATGTGGTGTAATAAAAGTATCTGAACGAAAAACTGGAACTTAGAAATATTCGATAGTCATAGTAAAATTGGCAAAAATTGTAGAAAAATGACTGAAAACAAAATATCAAAAAATCTTAATATTAAAAAAAAAAATTTTGCAATGTTTTTTTATTCTTGAAATTTTACAATTTCAAATGGCGCCAACAAAACTCCAAAAACAACTTTTCCTAAGCAAAAATATGCTATTGTAAGCCTGCTCGCTCGCATTATTCGCTCAAATTTAGACTAAAAGTCAAAAAATTTAAGCCTGTCTTTCTCGATACTGGGACAACTTTTTGGATTTTTTGGTCGTTCGAATTCCGACTGAAAGCTCTTTATTATGAAATGTCATTCGACCTATTCCCATAATTATTTGTGGTTCTTGATTTTGCGTGGTAAATTAAAAGAAACAAGGATAGCCGGTTATTGGGGAAGTAGCACAGAATGTTCCGACCATAGTCTTTACAAAATACAACAACGATTTTTCAATCAAGTGTCGTCTTTGTTCAGCGTGTTGTGATAAGAGCAAAACAAAAAACTGAGGATTTGGTAATTCGACAGCCTTAGTAAAAAGAGCAAACTGAAAAACAAAGTTTGAAGAAAAATTACTAGAAAAAACAAAAAAAAATCAACATAAAATTTCGAAAAATTTTCTCAAGTTTTTTTTGCAGTTTTTTGAAAAATTTGATTTCAAAAAGGCGCTAAAATACTCAAAATTAACTAACGTTAGTCAAGTAAAACTAAGTTTTTAGGTAAGCTATTGTAAGCTTTTAAGCAACTAAAATAAGACTGCTCGCTCGCTTTATTCGCTCGAAATAAGACTAAATGTTAAAAAATTCAAACCGGTTGTTCTCGGCACCAAATTTTTTTTTGAATTTTCTAATGTGATTCGAATCACGACTCTAAGGGCTTTTATATGATATATCACTCAAGCCGATGATGATTTACGGTACCTGATTTTGCTTGGAAAACAAAAATAACTAAAACACACCCGAATACAAAGTTCCTCCTCATTTTTTCAAGTGGTCGTAATCGATCCGCTTATTTTGTTTGATAAGTTATCTTGAGAACTCAAACAAAATCACTCATTAGTTTATACTGTCCAAATCGAAAATAACATTGAAGTTTTTTTTGACAAAGTTAGAGGAAACCGCGGCAGATATTAGTTCCAAAATAAGTTCAATGATCTTATTATTTAAGCTTTTTTTCATGAAAAGACCACGTGTTATTCGTCAAAATTAGGTCAAACAGAAGTTCAAAGGTCAAATTAAAGGTTAGGTGCTCTCTTGTGAAAACTATGTTGATGTTTGTATGTGCCTACCTCCTTCATCTGGTGAAATGGGAGCGGTCGAGTTAGAGTCCAGGTCGGGATTTAAATCCGACGACCCGTCTCCCTCACCGTCGGGATCAACAATTGCTGAAAATTAAATAACTCAATGTCAAAATTATCTTAAGATGCGAGGAAAAACTTAACAACAGTTGGCTGTTTTTCATTTTCCAGTTCTTTGTCGTCACACCCAATGAGCACGGATTAGAACAGAATCTGAACACTCTAGTTCCTCAACAGAATTCGAACAATTTCATTACTTTGATGCAGCTGAATGATTACCAAAAATTGCCTCTTAGAGTACCTTAACAGCGTTTATTAGTTTTTTAAAATGGTAATTTCAAATAACTTCAAAATATGCTCTTAAAGACGGATGGATTCATTGTGAAATTTTAACTTAGATGCTGACAACAACTTTTGTTATTCATTAAATTATCGCAATAAATTCTTACGTCACTCAGTCAACTTCGAATTGGTAGATTAATTTATCGTCAGCTTCATCCCTATGTCAACAAATTCATCCACCATTACGCATCTGTCACCGCTATTCTACGTACCCATCAATTACAAACATAAAACCCGTCATCTAACACTGGGAGACATAAAAAAAGGATAAATCCACTCCTTAGTTCCTCGCCTTTTCCTTAACTTGCCAAGCAACCCCGTCAAAAATACGCAATGCGTGAAATTATTTCACCTCCAAGTCATGATGAATTCTGCAGTACTCTTCTAATGGTATGCTCTGTGGCATGCTCTGTAGTGGAATTCTCAAGAGGGTGAAATAATGAATTGCTCATCTATAGGCTGGGGGATGGAGTGATATTTACTCAAGGAGGGGATGGTGGGAGGGACTTGAGGCTGTGGGTTAATATCCGAATGCACAACAACGATCTACGGCACAATTCAAGTGCCTTCTGCTGCCCTTTTTCTTTTCTAATGCAAGGCTGTTCCGCTACTTATATATTCTACCAAACAATTCTAATATTTGTATAGCAAACAAATATATTTTTAGGCTGCCAGAAACGGAAAAAACTGGGACTCCAGAACTCCACATTACACCAATGTTGATTAAAATCGCCTCGATATTTTACTCAGGCCAGAAAAGCTGCATGTAAATCTTAACCAGGGGCACAGCGGTGGTTCTCCGTAAAAAGCTGAATAACTGGTCTAATTTTCAAATCTAGACATCAGAATTTGAGTTTCCAAAGCTCTTAGATTTTTGTTCAAAAAAGTTACAGACGTCCAGTGGACATTAAAAACGCATTCTTACATTTTTGATATTTCAAAGAATTCGGAAGAAGTTCTTTTCGATTGACATTTGCCAATTGCATGTTCTTTTATATCACTGTAACATTATCTCAACGCTGATTCATATTTTTTCATCGTTCACAGAATACCAACCATTAATGTAACAATCCGCACAGCATAAGCCAGCATGAAATGCAATATGTTTACCGACAATCTTGAGAACTCTTAATCTGCAGCTAAGTTCATAATACCTTCCAGTCTGTTTCAATAAACTTTACAACACCCAGTCATAAACTTCAGAGCTTTAACTTAAGAGCCAACTTTTATCCGCCATGAACATGCGAAGTTTTTCCAAATCTTGCGATCAATTGAAACTGGACAAAACTTGGGAAGGATTGGCCACTCTGTGTAAATTTCCTACGGGTAGATATGCATACGGGCTCAAATTGTTTATTCCTATGAATTGACAATTAAATTGTACCAACGTGCTTTAGACTTGGGCTTAAACTTGGACATGTAGACTTCAAGCGTGACTGAATTGTTCAATTTTCCCTCAAAACTGTTCAAACGTTGACCGAAACAGGACATGACCGTGTTAAGGCAGGAAACACAGTGGTGGTCGAAACGCTCACTTATCAAGAAATTGTATATTTAGTAATTTCAACACCATTTTCAAACCAAATACCCTACAGTTTTATACTAGATTTCTATAATATTACCTAAATATCATTCGGCTAAGCGCGTTTTCTTGTATAAAATCGGCTTCCGAGTTGTTCAAAACACTCCTCTGGTTTAAGCTCTAAATTTGACTTCAAAAGCTCAGAGCTCCATAAATTTCACGAAACTGAACCGCTCTTAATCTTAAAAACTCTTCCATATATTGTCTTTAATTCCAACAGCGATTTGAATTTCGGGATAAAACTTAACGGATTAAAACACGGTATTTGGTATAAAGTTTCAGTCAACATTTACAATATTACGTTTGCTCAAACTCTCAGATACAGATAGTAATTCAATAACCAGTCATTGCAAATGATACCATTTTACACATATTTGAACATTTGAAGCCAGAAAACTGGATTCACAAAACCGCTATCCACGGCATTTGATGCAGTGTTTATAGTGCCTAAGACGTTTCAACAAACAAACTGATGAATTTAGTACTGCTTAGAATCTAGTTTTGTGACACACATAAATGGTATAAGGTTGTTTCTAAAGAGGATTTGGGTTTAAAGCTTCGGGAATTCAGTTAGAAAGGCATTTGTCGATGCCAATTGTTTCAGGTTTTATTTTCGGTTGGAACGTAAATATTATCTTAATCTAGTTCTATTGATTGATACAATCAGCCTGAACTCGATATTATCTTTGAATAAAAGAGATTTACTAAAAGCAAAACGAACAGACTACCTTGCATTACTTGAATCAAGTACCTTTGAAGATCGGAAAATTCATCGGTCATAAAAGTACATCTAAAGCTAATACATCGAAATGAAGATGATATTTCAAAGTTGCTTACTTTTGTCTTTTTCAGGATCAGCGGCAGCAATTTCAGCAGGTGTCGCATCTTCTAAAACATAGAAAAAAATATTAGTTAACAGTTCTAATACCATCCCGTCCCATCCGCATCCTTACTACAGCTCATACATTTAATGCACTGTTTATGCAATCGTGTGCTCATTGATTTTCAGTTTAGAATTAATTTATTCTTAGCGGAAAAAAGACAAAAAGACTACAAATACGAACTTGTTTCGAACTGAACTAAATGTAGCCGGATAGATGCATCTGAGCTTGGCCTGTATATCATTTCGCATCTCACACTATGCGCCACAAAATTCAACTTCATGTTGATTGAAGCAGCTTGCGGATCATCGACAGTCGCAGTTCTTTCTTCACTTTTTGAGGTGTCTGAGTCTCGGTAGAAAGATCCGTAACACTTGATCATAAGTGGACTATAAACTAAGTCGAACATTGGCTTGTCGAAGTCGAATTTAACAGAAGTAACATTCTGTTTGTTTCTGAACGCGAATGCCATTTGAACCTTGTCGAAGTTGGATGTCCTCTTTACCCACTCGACGTACTTGTCGTCTGAGGTTCCTCCGAGGATTAGGGATCCGAGGCCTCGCGTGAGGTACCCGTTGACAAGTGTTCCATCATACCCTATATCTGGATGCTCCTCTGAGGGTTCTGTGATTGTGTAGGATTCCATGTCTGTAAAAAAATCATAATTTTGACAAATTATGTTGATTTAAACCAATTTACTCTTTTTCAACATCAAACAACTTTCGATATCACGAAAGTAAAAAATGAACAACCCAAGTTTGACTAGCAATAAAAAATCTCACCTTACAAATTAAAAATTTCACCTTAAAATCTATCATAAAACTAACCGTTAAATATGCATGCTCCATGTTCCAATGTGATTGAAAACTCTTTGTGAGAGCTGGTCGAGTTATCAAAATGATTTCCCATCAGATTTATTCTCATCTCATTTAAGACCATGGATGGATCCATTGTGCTCTGCAGATACCACTTCGAACTGTCAAAGTATTGGTTGAACTTCAGTCTTGACATTCCGTTCGCGTTTCTGTACGTGCGACCCAATGGAGTCCCATCGCCTGGTCTCGAGTACTGGAAACTGAGCTCAATTTCTCCGCTCTTCAATTTGAACGATTTCACTTCGTAAACTGAATCGAACTTTACCTAAAGCCAAAATTTGAACCTCAGCCTGGTTATCTTCACTTACAACCAAAATTTTCATTCAAAAAATCTCTATTAAATGTTTTTTCTTTACAAAATTAATGACTAATTCACAAATCTTTAACAAAAACCAAAAAAGTGGCAGCGATGATCAGAATAATTAACTGAGCTTTTGAGCTTAAAAAAAAACCTTTTTTATCAGCTTATCCGGAAAAATTTATTGTTTTGCAACCCAGCCTCGTTAGCATTTATGTGATTCTGGCCATAAGGCCCAAACTAATCAATAACTTATAAAGCGGACCGCCTCCACTTTAGGATGTTATCAAACCGAAATCGGACATTGCCTCATTAGCTGCTGATCAAAACCGATACTGGACTAAATACCTGGCAATAAACAGCTTAAGAATTGAAATTGCTCGTTCTTTCTCCTTACATTGTGGCCATAAAAAATATCGATATACTAAACTAACAATTGAACTTTACGACTGGAAAGTTAAATAAACAGTTCCTTCCGTAATGACTACAACGGTCGGGTAAGCTGATGAAAAACTAACGTGAAAGTATTGATTAGACAGCGGATCGGGTAATTTCGACTCCCGCTTTGATATGGAGCTGGACCCTCCCCCTCCATTACTGCCAGAGGATGATGCGGCGTCATTTGAGGTCGAATCAGCGCCAGATTGGCCGTCCGCACTATTAGCACCGGGTGAAACTTTGTTGCTGTTGGCTCCGGGAGGCTTCAAGTAGGGGTTCGAAACTCGAATTGAGTCTTTACTCCTGCAAAAAAAAACTCTGCACGAAAATTTTGAATAAACAAACCAATAAAACTGGAATATCGAAAATTACATTAGCAATGCTCCTATCCTAATAGCCGTTCAAAGAGAAAATCTTCGGATATACAAAACTCGCTTGTGTCATATGTAAAGAGCTCATAATACGGTTGATCTCTAAAAACTGCTAACTATACATTATTTGTAATCAAGGCCACTCATCGAATCTATTCATTGATATGCCTTTGTTTATTAAAATCTGAAGTTTATTCCAAATATTCTAGGATAGAACTGGGTAGCTTCTAAGAAATCAATCTTTTTGTTTTCCGTCTCCTTTTTTGAAGGAGAAAACTTACGTCAGTTCGACGGACAACATTGGAGAGTCCACTTGTATGATCTTTAGAGTATCCTCACAACCTAAAACAAAGCAGGCTAGCTTAACTCAATTGTAAATTATTTCACATTTTGATCAGATTTAAAGTTGAACTTTATGAACCAAACAGTTTTGGTCAGCCGTAGACAACGACAACATTCAATGAACCATAACCAGTTATATTCAATCTCTAAGTGCTAGGGTATCCCAAATGAACCCTTAAAGACCCTTCTCTTAGATTTCCTGGTTTTATGGTGCTGTATAAATAATCCTAAAATATCCAAAAGCTCTGGTCTAATTTGGCGCTAGGGAAAAATCGGTCAGAAAAATTGCATTTTTTGAAGTCCGAGATTGTTATTATCCTCAGGGGATCAATTTCTCTGGTTGGGCAAACTTGGGCAAGCATATTCCATCCTTAGTGCCATAAACAGGGATGAAATTAGACGATTTTTATGGTAAAATTAACGGTTAACAAAGGGAAACGGAAATTGGGAAACGCCCTTTGCTAAGAAAAAAACTGAAAACTGTTAATTCAAACGCACAATTTACTGTTTAAATCAACGCTTGTTTTTCATTGCTGTGAGCCATTTATTTGAAGTTGCGAAAATTAATTTTCTGGGGCAATAAAATTTTTCAAATTGCGTCAGTTGAGCACAAGTGACCCTTGAAACATTTTCATTACTTTTTCTCTTCACCGCCTAAGCTTGCAATAAAATCAAGAGGAGCTAACGCAAAAACGACATTAAAAATGAATAACTATTTTTACCGAATTTGGTTCAATTTTTTAAGCTATATCAAAAAACATTCAGACTGATAAGGATGAATAATTTAAGAGATGAATCTAAATTCATAAATGTCTGCCTAATTTTTTTCAACTTGAATTAGTCATTTTATTGGCAAGCCTGTCTTTACTTATTGATTAACCCTAAAATTCTCAAATCTGGAAGACTTCGTTTGTTCAGGCTCATCAGACATATTTCTTTGCTTCTGTTTCGATAACAATTTCAACTTCCTCTAAATCTCAAAATTGTCGCATATCTTAGATTTTTATTGCTTCTTTTTCAGACTACTGAAAATCACAAGCTTGAATTTGCAAATCCCAACGAAAGCTGTTTTATGACTTAAAATTTGTCAGCAAGAAATTATGTTTATAATTTCTCGCAAACAAATGTGTTAATGGTCAACATCCCGACCACTGAAATTGGGGAGGAAATTTGCCTTCGGGATCGAAATGGGTAGAGGATATATCATATTAAATGCTTTTCAGTCGGTTTGAAAATTTTGAATTGTAGTCTAATTTCGAACGGGTCTCTTCAAATTATTCAGGAAAACTAGAAACTAGTTTTTGAAGCTTATTCAGCGCTTTTTTGGCATTATAAAGTTTTCTTTAAAAATTTCTTCAGCAAAATGAAAAACATTTAAATTTTTCTGAAATTTTTTTAATTTTTTTTTGTCATTCAGTTTTCAAATACAACTGCTCTCGATTATAACTATTTCACTCAAGTTCTACGCGTTCATATAGTTTTCTCATCACACCACGCGCGCACAAAAACCTTGGTTTGAAAAAAATTTCGAACATTTTTTTTATTATTGCGTCGGTCGGTCGGAACATTCTAAGCTACTTGCACAGCAACCAGCTATTCTTGTTTTGCTTGCAATTATCGTTGAATAAGCCTTGAAGATAGAAAATATTCATTAATTGACAAAAACTAATGTCTTGGGCATAAAAATTTGTAGCGGTATAATAGTGCTTGAACTTCAGATACTTAAATGTTCCAATAGCTTCATTCCCATGATTCAATCAGATTTCAAATAAACACAGTCATGGAACAAAAAAATATTCAAATTTTCCAAGCTCACTTTTGTCATTAAGCTCTGCATTCCCTGAAACAAAACATGCACTTAAATTAGAGTATCCCGTTCTTATTTTGATATTTAAAAGTATCGGCGGCAATTTACTTTAGAACAATTCATAATCATTTTTGGATTAAAGTGTCAAGGGGGATTCTTAACAGCTTCTTTTTAATTTACTCAAATCTGGAAACAATGGAGCGTGTTAAATCAAATTAAGCATTCAAAAAATATTGTTCCGCTTACGCAATCTAATTGTTATCCCTGAGAATAGTTACATAATCCTTGGGGACGTAGACTGTAATTTCATATATATTGCATAATAATAACTTCACTGTCTTTCACTTCCATGGAAATTGCATAATTTCAGGATTGAACAACTATAGCTTAACGTGTAACCTTTTTGACACTACCTCCATTAGTAATCAATGTTGATGGTTAATAGGAAGTAATACGTGTAAAATAAGACGTTATTAAAAATCTGGGCAATGGCAAAGCCTGGGAGCGAATGAAGTAAATTATTTTGGGTTCCTTTTGTAATTTCCGGCTCATTTTTCATTGACAACTCACTGGTATCAGATAGTCTTTTGTCTGAACAAGAGTTGTGAGAACATAAATATATCAATCGGGTTCATTGACTCAAAAAAAGACAGGTAAACTGACATTTATGCAACGAAGTGCCATGAAAAATGGTCCTTCAGTGTCTATACTTCACTGCAACTGATCTAATAACTTTATCAAAAAATCTTCTGATTTTTCTGGGCTTCCAAAAAAACATATGAAAGCAAAAAAAAACTGAACAAAAAGGTAATTCATTTCTTACCAGAAAAAAAGTAATTTATTAAAAATCCCTTGAAATTCAACAGATTATATTCTACGTTTCAGTTGTTTCCGCGCAATGAATTCGAACAAAACACTGAAAAAAGTGTCGGTCATTCTTTTTCGAAGTTGCGACGCCTGATGTGAACAAAACAAAAGTGGCGATATTAAAAAGTAGTTCAGTCTCAATTGACCTGCTAAGCAATTTTATAATGGTAGGTTGATTAGCTCAGCCTACGGCGCCTCAGATACGATGGTATGAAAAAGGAACCTCCGCGTAGAACAGAAAACAAATGAAGCATTTATGACATGGATGACATCCCAACCACAGCAAAAAGACGGGAAACTAGAAAAAAGTGAATGGAAAAATTCTTTTCCACGAGAGGAAGCCCTTCCGTTTTATCAATGGCTTCAATTTTTTGATAATCAGCAAAAATAAAACAACAAAGTTGTCTTCTTGAAACATTTCAGTTCGATTTTAAATGTCAACACTCAACACTTTGAGCACCAATTGGAGCAAAAGGACATACAAAAGATGTCACTCGAAAGAGAAACTTGAACGATAACGGAGACTCGCTATCTCTTTTTGTAGTCAAATTTCAAAAAAGAATGGAAATTTCGTTATCTAATTTCTCCTTCTAGGATCTTCAGCTAGAGTTCAAAATTTCCAAGATTTAAAAATACAGACTAAATTTCATCCTTAAAGACCAACTGGCAGAGACATTTCTTCGTAAGGGCACATAAATTGACGATAATCAAAAGCATTCATATTCTGAAGATGGTCTTAATGTACTTTCGATTAACCCCCAGGGAACTTAATGGGCGAGAGTGGAAATAAAAATAAAAGGCAACGAAGGTGCAGATGAAACATTCAAAACAACCAAATTGGGAGGCTGAGAAAGAATTTATTATCTTGTCTAAACTAATTTAAACTCATCATTTTTTTATCAACCAAAAAATACCGACAAACACTCCGTTGCTCATTCATTCATTAGCAATTCTTTTTCTTACCCAGCTTTAAATTTTTTGCTCATCGGTTAACTTAACTGCCAAACCGATAAATTTTTCAGCACTTAACAAAATAAAAACTGCTTGCTAATGCACTCAACTTAACGACAAAAATATGAATTATATTTTCACGTAACGTGAAATTACGTACACAAAAATCTTAGGAAAAACTAACGACACAAGGTAAATAACCCCCATTAACTAGCTGAAATATTTTTTATTTACAAAATCAATTTATGAACAGGAAGACTTCTTCTAATTTTTCCTAATGACATGTGCATTATAAAGGTCGCTTAATAGGAAAAAGACTTCATTTTATCAGGAAATGACTAAAGAAAGCAAAGTGGTTTGTGGTAACCGCCATCAATCTTTGTCCTCCCCGCTGCGCTTACCAACGGAAGACGCCGTTTCAATAAACCTGCCCGCTACCTACTCTAATTTAGTAATGGTAAATGGTATTGTATGATTTGACATGTAAATGGTTAGATCACTACAATTTCCCTGAGCGTCTGTAGTTTTATGGCCCCTGCGCGATAATGCTGGCGATATAAAACATAATGAGCTGCTGTCAAACAGGAGCCCGTGTTTTGAGTCACTTATTAGGAAGAAAAGACACACATGTCACCACATCGGCAATAAAGAAGGTTCATCTTCCTTTCAATTTCATATAAAAGTACAAACCGAAGCAGCAATCATTGATGAGACGAATTCAATCCAGGCATTTCATTTAATAATGTCTGATAAGATGCGCAGACAAAAAGTCTGAGATACACAGTTCGAGGTCATGAAAATTTAGGACAAAAATCGATTTAAAACTGAACTTTTTAGGTTTTATAAGTTTCTGCGTTCTATAAACAGTTTTGTATAGGCATGATAAAACAAGAATAGCCCATTGCTGTGCAAGTAGCACATAAAATTCCGATCACATTCATTTAAAAAACTACAGGTTTTTTCTTAACAGAAAACGGTTACCGTAATTGCAAAATTTTGAGTACTTATGGGCTCAAAAATTACGCCAATTGGACTTTCGGACATTTCCAAAATAGCGTTTTTACTCGAGCATTGATTCTTAAAAGAAACACATAGCCAATAGGCAGTTGGAAAAGTGTCAATGAGCGCAAGAAAACAAACACAACACGGGCTTAAAATCAATTTTCGAATTTCAAATGAAAAATCTGGCCTTAAACAAATCTGAGATACACAGTTCGAGGTCGTGAAAATTTAGGACAAAAATCGATTTAAAACTGAACTTTTTAGGTTTTATAAGTTTCTGCGTTCTATAAACAGTTTTGTATAGGCATGATAAAACAAGAATAGCCCATTGCTGTGCAAGTAGCACATAAAATTCCGATCACATTCATTTAAAAAACTACAGGTTTTTTCTTAACAGAAAACGGTTACCGTAATTGCAAAATTTTGAGTACTTATGGGCTCAAAAATTACGCCAATTGGACCTTCGGACATTTCCAAAATAGCGTTTTTACTCGAGCATTGATTCTTAAAAGAAACACATAGCCAATAGGCAGTTGGAAAAGTGTCAATGAGCGCAAGAAAACAAACACAACACGGGCTTAAAATCAATTTTCGAATTTCAAATGAAAAATCTGGCCTTAAACATTTTAGAATTTCAAGAACAAATTATGACTGACATTTCGTGATAAAAACTAAATCAATTTACAAAAATTGGATTATAGGCAAACTCTTCATTCCCGTGGGAAATTTCAGATAATCCACTTCCGAAACTAGAAGCCGTTCATTTTTGGTGCTATTTCCACATTTTCAGTTGGAAAGCGTAACGGCCCTCTTTTCAGTAAATGAACTGAAATGAACTTTTAAAAAATCTAGCTCAAACTCAAAAAAACTGCAAAAAAATCATATTTGGCGAGAACAAATTTCAGGATGTTTTCTTAAAACATAAACTAATAGAAACAAGGATAGCTGGTTACTGTACAAGTAGCACACAATTTTCCGACCAGTCTTAAAAAATTACAACAAAAATATTTTTTGAAATTAGTGTCGCTTTTTCAGCGTGGTGTGATAAAGGAACCGGAGTGAAAAAAGAGCTTAGGCAATTTCGTCAATCATCGTAACATATGCAAATTGGAAAACAATTTTTGACGACAAATAACAAGAAAAACTTTTGAATTTTTTAAATGTTGTTCGAATCACGACTGAAGGGGATTTAATATGATACATCATTCAACCTAGTCCAAAGATTATTGGTGGTAGCTGATTTTGCATGGAAAACAAAAAGACAAAAAATCTAAAACACCCGAATAAAGTTTCTCCCTATTTTCAATGGTCGGAACCAAAAATTACCTCGCCCTAAATAAGCTTCTTCACTACGTCCATTAAAACTCAATTTTGCCACAAGACAGTTTTATAATTCAAATTATTGTTTGATATATGAAGTGGTATGATAAATTATCCAAGGTTGATTTTAGCGCGCGCTTTCAGTCCCATCAAAGATGACTCATAATGTTAACGAGTCCACAAAACCTGAACAGCTCGTATTTGCTGATAAAAAGTAATTTTATGACTTTCACAGGGCAATTGATAGCAATTTTTTAAAAAAAATGATATCTTATACTGAGTTTCTGTTGCTTTAACATTATTAAGGCTCTTGGTACCTCATTCTCGAAGTTTCGTTTCTATACATTCAATAGCAAAACAAATGACAAAAACCTGAATATTTTTCGTTTTTTCTTCTTCAATTATGATTGCAGAAGAAAATTGTTGTGCTACTTCCAAGTCAGCTGACTGACTTCTTTCTTTAAAAAAAAGAACCAGAGGAACATATGAACAACGACTTAGAAACATTAATTAGATTCGAAATTTGTTCGTAAAAATTACATCGTCATTCAAAACGTTATTTTAAAATTTAAAGTTATGCAGAGCTTCTTGCAGGAACTCTATGGTGGGAAAAAATCGCCGTAATGACGTAATTAATTAAGAAAACTATATTTTTTTTAGTTTTCAATTTTTTAAGAATAACCTATAGCACATGAAAACTAAAAAAAAAAACAGAAATTGATCTAAGTGCTCCTTTTTTACTGATCTTAATCCAGCTGATCTAAGTGATGCAGAATCCAAGAAAACTCAAAAACTAGCAGTATGTCAATTAACTCAAGACTCATAATTTCATATTTTCAGTGGGGCATCAGACTGATATTCAATTTTTTTGACACGCATACCTAATTTTTCCCTCGACATTGGAAATTTCAAAGAGTTTTCTTACAGTAGAAAAAAAGGGTTGAAAATTTTGCTGTATAGTGTAATTTCGAGCAAGCGAGTAGGTGTAGCAATAGGAAAGGAGCTTTAATTCAAAAACTGGAAAACTAATTTTTTAACCGTCATTTAGTGCTTTCTAGGCAATGAAAATCTATTAAAAATCAGCAGAAACTTTGAAACTTGTTTTGATCCTTTTGTTTCTCATTTTTTTCTAAGACACGTCTAGTAAATAATTTCTTACTCACTAACCTTTTCAGCTTTCATCCTTTTGTCCTCATCGCACAATGCAAAAAAAACGACACAAACTTGAAAAAATATATATAAGAAGGTGGCCGGACCACTCAGAGCTACTTATTAAAATTTGGAACAGTTGAACTAAAATAAAGCTATTTTTACCTTATTATAGTTCAATTTAAAAGCACTTCTGCAGACAATGAAAACTAATGGAAACTTCGTGGAAAAAAACATAACTTAAGAAAAAAGCTTCACAGGAACCAGCTCGACTAGTCTATTAAACTCACTGAATCCAAATTTAAGACTCTCTGAAAAAAACCGGACTAGCTAATCCGATTATTAAGTATACTGATGAAACATCACTTCTTGAATATCTTCTACTACTAAAACAACTGTTTTTTCATTAGCTGGACACAGATGAGTTTTGAGAAGCTTCTATTCGAGCATATTTATTCTTTTATTATTCATAACTGGCAGCTTTTTCATTCAAAAGGGGCGGTTTAAAATAAATCAGCGTTGATGAAACAGCCGCTGCAAACAAAAGCTATTCTGCAATTTAATACAAAAGAAGGAGTGCACTTAATAATTCAGAAACTAGCAACCTGCTTCATATTAAGATTAAGCTCAGCTGCGAGTTATGTCGAAAGCAAAAGAAACCTTATAGAAATCTGAAAAATTAATAACTAAGTCTTCTGCATATATTGCAATGATTCGCATTGTTGCGCATAACGTTTTCTTAAATTGCACAAAACATCTGCTAGCTTAAAAAGAGCCTGATTTGATCACTTAAAATCTTAAAACTCGTTGGTTACATAAGCAAACAATCTTTTTTAGTCGTATGGATTTTCGGGTCTCTTTAACTATTCGCCCAGTAGTAAGAATTGCTACCCCTATAATTGCTTAATTCAATGTTTAAGCATATGCGAACTTTGTATCAAGTAACGCACTTCACCCTATTGCAAAAGGGTAGGGGGTACTTAGAGATCCCGATTCATGGCGACATTCAAATAAACCTAGAAAAACGTGAGCATTAGTATTATCATAGATTTTCTTTATCATATTTACAGTCTAGACTAAGACTGAACTCCTTAATCCTTGTATTCAAAAAGACACAATTCAAAGATTCAAAATAAGTGTAAACTCTCAGTGCAAGGTTCTAAATCAGGTCGGAACGCTTTCCTCCTTTGTTTACGTTGTTATCTTGGACGAGTTACCCATTTCCAAAGAAACTGCACTTTTCTTTCAGTTAACAAGTCAATATACAAATCAAACCAATCCTTCGCGAACCCTTTTGAAAGACCTGTCACGGCTTCAGGTTACAAAACTTAGAACCAAATCCTATACTATAGCTACATAATTTGGTGTTGCTTCCTAAATTCACCGTACGATTATTGAACAAAATGAAATTACTTTTTTTTCTGTCCATACTTTGAGTAGCAAACGTGCTTGTGAGCTGAAGGCACTAATGAAATAATTTGGTATCCCTGTATGCTTGCGATTGAAAGGTACTGGAAGCACGGGTTTGAATGAATGAGGGTAATTCCTGGGGGGTGCTAACTCAATTTGGTGTTCGCAATAAAATAATTTAAGCAAGGAGTCTTTCACCTCTTCTTTTTTATCCAAACTGCCATTTTTTAGATCCCTTCTGACAAAAACTGACTTCAAGGGATTTTCAAACATGTAAGAAAAATTGAATGAATTGAAAAAATAATTACAATGTAGTTCCAACAATCAGCAATGCAACCTCAACTCAATACATATGCTAAGTAAACTCCATAATTTACCCTGAACGTCAGCTTAAACTGTGAGACCATGTGGATCGATAAAATATTGATTTACTATACAAAAATTTGTATAGCCTTTATATACCAAAAATTAACTATGCCCTTCGTTTTCATTTTTTAATTTGGAAATTTTTCACGCCTAATAAATTATCAGTAATCTAATCTAATCTACCAATATCTCAATCAGTAATCTATACCATTTGCAGCAATGATTCATGTTTTCACTGACTGTAAAATAAAATCTAAACGAAGTGTATTTTTGCGTGTCAGTTTGACGAATTTAGAGCCAACATCATTTACCATATATGAAAACCATAATTTTAATGAGCATATTCACATTCAAACGTCTCTTAATTTTCTTTGATTTTGCATCAAATTAGCTTTTTCAAACTCCGCCTTTTTAATTCACATATTCATGAATACATTTTTGGTCTTCTTGATATTTGAAAAGTTGAATGATCTGACAAGTGCTCGAGCAGCCTACAAATTAAGGTGTCTTAGTTTTTATTTGCATTTGAACTTTTTTTGTCATAGGTGATATCATATATCAATATTTCGCTGAAAAAATCGATGTTCTAATACTGCTGGTATCATCATTCAATTTGAAACTCAGGGCAGGATAAACAGTAATTATTTGCAACAAACTATCCACGCTTTCTATATTTTTTTGCAAAAAAATAATAGAAAAATCCACCACATTAGGAAACATTTCTCAGTGCTTTCAAATCTGCGAAAAAAATTACAAAATTAAATTAATGGAGGAGGCAGGGAAATGATCCATTTTTTTCATTGTTCACTAATTGACAAATATGAAAAAATAATTACAGTTTTTTGACCGCTGCCCTACCAATAAAAACCAAACATCAAAGTCATAGTGGCTCCGCTTCAATTTCCTCAGCGGCGACAAACGTACGCTTTTAACCGTTTCTTGTGCGCAACAAATTTGGACCGTGAAAAAGAGGCGGATATTTGCAGATGAAAAGTCGCACTTTAAGTGGGAGAGAGTGGGAGGGTTGAGAAATGATTAGCTTGTCAATGGGAGGCTGAAAATGGAAAGTTGAATGGGTTTGATGAACTTAAAAGCGGCAGGTGCAACAAAATCACGACATACAAACTAATCATTACTTCGCCTGTGGGTACCTTTAAATACATGGGAAATGACAGTCGTTTGAACAGGAAATCGTTGATCGACGAAGCAATTAAATTTTTCAATTCCTTTTCATTACCCAAAAATTCTCTTATCAGTAAATTCATGAAGACAAAAAATAACTGGTTAACTTTAATTATCAAGCCGCCAAAATATAAGCGTTATTATAATTCAAATAAAATTTTATCAATTTTACCTTGCAGTAGTGAAGGAACCATGATGATTAAAACTGCTAGCTGCGATGCCAAAAGCCTCGTTGAAAGCTGTAGGCGTCCAGTTCTCGTAACAATCTTCATTTTATCGTAATTCTATTTTTTTTTGCAATGTTTCTGAATTCAAATTGCGATAAATAGTCGCTAAAGTAAAACCCGAATTTTGAATTCAGACAGTGAAAATTGATTTAATCTAATTGAGAAACAAATTTGCACCTAAATTGAAAATTTCGTGCGTTCTAGGCAGAAAAATTGAACATCTGGTAATAAAATCAACTCGAATAAATTGGATAATTAGTATCGAATTATGTTTTAATAGTGCCACTAATTCGTTAATGGAAATTGAGACTCCAATGAATGACATACAAGATGCATTAGACAACCTAAGCAATGGTTTTTGAGCATCTTTGTTGAGACGAGTTAACAAAACCACATTCAATATACAACTGGTTGTAAAAGTGACATCGAAAACGGTATGACAAGACTAAACAGATAGATGGCGTTCCCGTTGTAGATGATTCTTATCTATGTTGATTGATAAGATAATTACACTTGATAAGTACAAAAAGGTAAGCTAGTGCTGCTAATTAATGGTGCAGTTTAATTTTGGGATTCTGAAATTTGATCTCAAAAAAAAACATCAATTGTGAATGAAATGTTTTCACGTTTTACTTCCGGAAATTATGAATAAAACTGAAATTTGTTCTGATTTGCCGAAAAATTAGAAGAAATAAAGCAAGGCGAATTAAAGCGATGAATAATTATTTTATATAAAAAAGGCAGGCTAAATTTGTTCGATAGAGGTGTAATCCCGCTAATGGTCAAATAATTGATAATTTTTGATTTCGGTTCCGGTGCAATAGGTATTTCCGATGGTTGTTTGTTTGTTGTATTTCTATCAATGAAAATCACAGGCGTTTGGCGCCGATCTTCTTTGAAGTTGGTGGAAAATTGTAAGATAAGAGAGTTGGTTCCTTCTTTGTTACAGATAATCGGGTAACTAAAAAGACCAAACGTCTTAACTTGGTCGATTGAAAATAACGGCAGATTGTTCTTCAATCATCGGAAATTTGTCTGCTGTATTAATAAGCTGCCTCTTTCGCCTTTTTCATATAACAAAACTGAAATAAAAGAAAAATGATTAATCAAAATCACCTGTTTAAAATACTTGGCAATATTCTGACACGAAATTAGCCTCACTCTAAACAATTCAAAGCCAGTTTATATCCTTCTTGAAAATCTTTTAAACAGCCCGATTATGCAATGAGCATAATGAGATTGAAAGAGAATTGCAATATTTTTTCAGTTCAGTTACCTGGTTAACAAAATTGGAATAAGAAGTCCAAAGCAGTAATTCTGGCTGTCAACGTGTTGTAATCATAGCCTTACAAAAAAGCGTACTGTGCTTGAAAAAACAATTTTGCCGGCGAAAAACTTACATACACAGCAATTTTTTTAAATAAGAAAATACGCAGCTCTCAATTTTTGACAGTGTATTTTCAAAAATCAGCCTCTCCAGCTTAGTAATGCATTATTTAATTTTTAGTCAACTCTCATTGGACCAGAATTTTAAAAAAATCGCAATATCTTAATGAACACAAATGCAATTGAACACATTCAAAGGCTGACTAAAATAGAAATGCGGTGGAAAAAAGAAGCACAATTTGCGCTACACTTAGTCCTAACGAGTTAAAACATGCTCGAGGTATTCAGGGAAAAGCAAATCTGATTTATAGATGCCAACTGGTGCCCGGCAAATAAGACGACAGTTGTTAAGACGACAAACGTTTTTGATGGGACTTGGAGACAACGCTACACGCAAATTCTCCAATTGTATTTCTGAAAAATTTAATTAGCTCAAATTCGAACAGTTCAATTTACATGTTTACATCTCCTTTGTCGTCTTAATGTCATGTCGTCTTTCTCACCCGTCGTCTTATTTACCTTGGACACCTAAGCTAGGCAAAAATTATGTATAAATTAGGCAAAAAAGCTAGAAAAATTATAGTTTTATGATGCTCCTAAAACTCTGTCTGAGCATCAAAAAATTATTTTTTTTCTCCAAAATTTGCGGCGAATGACAAGGAACGCAATAAAAAAGAACAGTCGGCATGGTGCTAGGCTAATGTTTTTTTTACCAATAAGTTATAAATAAATTTTCCTAGCTTAGGATACCAGGGTATTTGAAAGAAAGTAAACAAAAAAAACAGTCTTTCGGACCCAACTAACAAATAACATCAATCTACGCTTACCATTCTGCAGTAAATCAAAAAACTCCTTTAACATGCTTGGCATAATTTTTTGGCACCAATACTCTGAAAATTGAAGATATTAAGCTATTAAATGCTCTTACACACAGTTTTTGAATTTTCTTTTGAGAAAAAAAAACTACTTCGAAACGCAAATCAGTCGGTAACACGGAAATGTTCAGACAACTATTATCGGGATATTTTCTTACAGTCTAATCACAAAAGAAACAGACCTTCTCATGATTCGAAGCCCGATTCGCAATCGAAGTCATATTACCCGAAGTTCGCTCCAATCGAATGAACGAAGAACAATAATGGAAGAACAAGAAAAAAATTTTGAAAGACAATTAAAAAAAACTTTTGAAAAAAGGGAAAGCTTATCTCTGAACTAAAAACTCACCGAAATAGAAGAAAGAACAATAATCCCTTTAATGAACCTTAAAGCAAATTCCATTTGCATAAGATATTAACTGCAATAGAGTATAACAATTACCACCAAGAGATGAAAATTCAGAAGCAAAAATGGCGAGAACATCCAAATTCGTATTAAAAGATTCTAGCGTTTTTTTGGAATTCTCATTACTGCTAGAAAAAGAACAACAAAGTCTGGTAGAAAAATCGAAAAACTAATTAATGAAAAACTTGTATCGCGCATTATAACCCCAAACTGGTTAAATAAAGTTAAAAAATTTCGCCTGGAAGGTATTGAAAAGTATTGTCACACAAAACTATAGTAGAAAATTGAAATCAACAAAATTTAATTGCCTTTATAACATGAAAATTGTAAAATGTTGCCGTTACACCGTGTGCTTGCTTTTCTTGTAGAAGAACGTATGAGAAGGATCAGAAGGTACATACAATTGCATTGATTAATTAGTTCAGTCACGTATATAAATTCGGATCTGTCAGCTTCATCACCCCTCGTGTACTTAGTAACGAATATCCTCCCTATAAAGAAATAAATCAACGCTTAAGCAATCCAGAGTTTTATACCTAGTAACGAATATCCCACTTTTGCAAAAGGGGGGATAGGGTCAAAGAGATCCATAAATTCTTTACAAAATCAAAATAACCTATCCTAAACTTACACTTCGAAAAATGATGAAATTCCAATTGATGCTTAATTGCAAAGATAACTGGCTAATGAACAAATTTCACTATCACAGGCAAAAAAAAACGAAAAACAGACAGTTGAAACTAGAATGAAAACAAAATAATTAAACCCCGTTGTGTAACATAATATCGGAAGCCAAGACTCTGTACGTCTTTTTCAGCTCGGAAATGCACCAACTACATACTACATTCACAGTGAAAGATCTGCGGATGAATCGTTTAATTAGCTCAAACCTCGAAAAAAAATCCAAAAATCTATCATTTTCAAGCTTGCGTTTCACTGAATATGAAAATCCTAAACCGGAATCATCAGACAAGCCGCAGTAATGGAAACGGGTAGCCTCATCGAGTCTAACGGTACACCGAGGACTCCAGAGCCTCTAACTGTACACCGAGGACCTCACCTTGGACGAACTCTGGTAGCAAACTCAAAAACAATTATTGAAAAAACTTTAATGTATCGCGCATTATAAACTACGAACTGGTTAAATAAAGTTGAAAAAATTTCGCCGGAAAGTTATTGAAAAGTATTGTCACACAAAATTACAGAGTAAAAAACAAATCAACTAAAATTAATTGCCTCATAATAAGAAGATTGACGAATCGTGACGGCACACCGTGTGCTTGCTTTTCTTGCGCTATGTGTTAAGAACGCATAATGAGGAAATTCTCACACAAGCCGAGTTATATTTCTATATCACAAGCAAAACGAAAAGCTGACAGTTGAAACACTATTGAAAATAAAATCACCTTGTGTAACATCGGACCCCAAGACTCCGGGCGTCTTTTTCACCTCGGTAAAGAACCAAATTCACTACACTCACCGTACAGATCTGCAGATGAACCGTTTAATTAGCTTAAACCTAAAAAAACACCCACAACAGGGGCGGATTTATGGGTACGGTGTGGCGTACGCCCTCCCCTCAGGGATTCGACCCCCTGCCGACCCAAATTTTCCAAAAAGTGCTTAAAAACGCCTTTTTGGTGAAGTTTTTCAAAATTTTGCCTGCGGCACAAAAAATTAGGCCAAAACAGGGACTATTTAGTGCTTTGGGAGAGCTCGAAAAATCAATTTGGTCGAACTAAAAAAGGTCGACAAAACTTTCGAACAATCCAACATTTTCGAACTTTGAGTACTGTTACCCAGCCGAAACAAATCAAATCAACCTCGGCTATACGGAAAATTTAAGAAACCAGACACAGGAAACCCCAAAACCGAAACGACGAAATTCCTACAGCAACAAGAACATTTTAAAATTAAAAGAAACCAAAAAAATTTAAAGATTTTTATGCAACCTTTTCAATTTTCGAAGTTGACAGTAAAACTAGGATCATTTTAAAGAATTTATTCTTATTTATGATCTACATTTTCCTGATAAAACCACAATTTTAGGAAGCTCGTTCAGTAGTTTATTTATTATGCAGATGGCAAAACTCAAAAATTACATCCGCTTTTACAAAAATCTTCTTCCATTTGGCGCAAGTCAAAAATTTATATAGCAGAAAGCAAAATTACTTCAATTTCTTAAAGTAATTACAATATAAAATTGAAAAAATCGAAAACCACGTTGCTCAAAATTTTCACCCCCCTCTTTAGATCTTCAGAACAAACAAAATTGAGGCTTGAAACTGGATAGATCAACGGTAATGGCCTGCTTTTAAGCAAACGAATTTAAATTGAACTTCAGAAGAACTCAAAAGTCAAGCCGCAAAAGCTGAGGAGTCAGTGGAAAAATCAACACAACCTAAATTAGTGTCTTCACTTCGTTCATTGACACTTAATCACGAGTTTTAGATCCGATTGGTTATGCAAAAAGCAAAACGATTAAAAACACAAAAGTTTAAGATATAACGCATGATTAGCATTACAAGGTACTGAATCAAAAAGAGACGGAAATAACTTGGTCAAAAAACATTGAGCAATATTTTTAAATAGAAATTAAAAATTTAATTTCACAAAATTTCAAAAACACAACCACTAGAAGAAAAAAGTTGTAGTGATTAGCGAGCTGCCACTAAGCCGAGATTATTGATTAACGCCCATTGAGCCGAAAACAAAAAAACTGCTCTAAGAACATCTAAGACATTAATTTTTTACACCACAATCGATCTGAAATGTTTTGTCTTCAAATAGTTATGAACATTTGCTCTTAAAACACCACAAAATAAGGCGATGACGCCGGTAAACCATAAGCTGAAACCATTTTAACCGAAAAAAAAACAAACAAAAAAACTTGTTCAAAATCCGAGTCGGTAAATTGACAAAATAACACGAATGTCAATTAAAGTAAGAATTATTTAAAATTAAAAAAATTAATACTTTCAAAATTTGGCCCAAAAAAATAAGCAGACAATTGAAAGGCGACAATTCAACTTTTCCCAAAAAACAAAACTTTCAATTTCATACATACAGAAAAAAACAAGGTCCACCGACCGTGACTAGATCCGCAGACCTTAGAGTGCAGTTGCAACGGCGTCACCTTTAGACCGAGTAGAAAAGAACCTAGACATTGCTAAGGCTCAATAATAAATCAAGTTCAATTTCTTCCAGATTTCGGGACAAAGTCTAGTTCCCGATAACAAAACTTGGTGCCGCTAGTATAATTTTGATGCATGGGCAATTTTGATGCATGGGCTGCAAAATATTCGCTGAAGTTTCTTCCAAACTAAGAAAATGTGAACAAAAATTTAAAAATAACTGTTTTGAGTATTCTTCTACCAAGAACTCCCCAACAGCTTAAAAATTTTATTCAAACCCTGGCGATGCCGACTAGGTCGTTTCAGCTTCCTCCAAATCCGGCGCATTTATTTGGAATCAAACAAATAACCCGCTGACACCGGTCGATATTGTTAGCGATATAAATCAAACTGTATTTAATATATATCTCAGTTCCAGTCAAACTGCTAAGGAATAAAATTAGAGTTGTGAAGCACGCTTCACTTTCGATGATCAAACGCAGCAATAATACCAACGGTTATAATCAAAGATGGTAACAGTGGTTATATTCATAAAATATCTAACAAAGTTTTACGACTATATAAACTGAAGCGTACAGAATTCATTATTGTGAGAGTTGTTCAGCTTAAACAACACCCATAGATACGAATATCACATAATGTGCCGACCAAACATATGCATATCAGTGAATCAAGCGACTGTTGGTAATACTTGTTATAATCTGCAGTCAATTTTGATGCATGGGCTGCATAATATTCGCTGAAGTTTCTTCCAAACTAAGAAAATGTGAACAAAAATTTAAAAATTACAAATTAGGTAAACTGCTTTTTCATTTCTTATAAGGAAAATCTTGCAATAAAACTGATCAATTAGAATTAATATGGACCATGCGACCTCAGCTTTTTGCCCGAATGAGTAATTATTACATCATTTATGAAAAAAATGGATCAAACAAATCTTCAGTGCGCGATCAAAACTATAAAATAGCTTGTTCCATTTCCATTTTTGATAGATTTTCTGCCAAAATAAACTCGCTGATTCAATTTGACCAAAATTCGAGTTCAAAAAGAAACTAAGCAAAGTAACTGAGCCAAAAACAACAACAAACTAGTCCAAATAGAGAACTGAAGGCAAAAGGCAAAACAAGCTTATCAGAAAGAAAAACATGATAGGCAAGAACATCAAATACCCAATGAACGAATAAATAATAGAACTAGCATCTATCATTCAGTAGTTTTGGTGTTATTATAGTTTGAAGGTTTCTAGAAAGTTAGATTCAAAGCTGAGCATCGTACACAGGTTTACCAACTGGTCGCCGAAAAAGTAGTGACTTAATCAAAATATACCAAAATCATCTCAAAATGAACAAAAAATAAGTTCCCAAAGAAGTAAAAAGACCCTGGTTTCGCCCAATTTTCAGCGCTGCAGGCAAAATTTTGAAAAAAGCAGGCCAAAAAAGCGTTTTTTCTGGCGTGCGCTCTCCCCTCAAAACTAGTATAAATTGGCGCCAAATACGCCTTAAGAAAAATTTTGGGGTTCGTCAGCCAAAAATGGATATCTAAAAATAGTTCAAAGGGGGGACCTCAGGAGTTTTGATGTACTGCTGACTATAAACAAAAATAGTGACCAGTTAAAAAGTAGAGAGTTTGTAGAGACTAATAGTGACCGGTCACTATAATACAGACCAGTTGGTAACCCTGATCGTACAGTTTTTAAGAGCGGAGAAAATAACTTCAATTTTTTGGACTCGTTATCACATCAATCGACATCTTAAACTCTCAAAATTTTCATCCAATTAGTCAGAAAAATACGTTTCACGCTTTTTTGGAACATACTGTATATCTACGAAAAAGAACAATCAAAAATACCTTTCTCGCTTTTTTGGAACATACTGTATATCTACAAAAAAGAAGAATCAATAAAAGCAGATTTTCATTAGCGAAAAAACTTGATAAAGATATTCCGCATTCACCTATTCTACCTTATACTACGAGAAAAAAATACAATACGCCTGAAATACAAAACGATGATTTCAATGAAAATCAGATATCACAAATATGTCAATACAAATAAAAGATAATAATGGAAAGGGCGCAGACCTCGCAAAAAAATAAAATTGGAAGGCCGCTTCGATGCACCTGATTTGAAATATAATCTCAATAATACTCATCCTACTCAGAAGGGGAAAGACCTTCCTTCTATATCAGTTAGCAGCCGGCAATTCTATAATGAAGAATAAACAAAAAGTCACCAACTTAACTGGCGTTGTTTAACAGCTCTGCTGTATAGTGAATTCGCTTTAAGACGACCGGACTGGGCTATAACTCCTTGCGAGGTAAAACCGCAGGTAATAAGCACTGGGTATTTTGGCGGTGCGTTTTCCCATTTACAGTTGGCCTAAGCGCTTCAGATCTGGGGAAATGTGTGGAATAATAGCGGGATTTATAGCCAAAGTAGACATTAAAGGGGAACTAACTGGAACTCAGAAATTCACTCTCAGCTCTTGGGCACATTTGCCTGAGACATAGAAAGAACTACTAGTTACTTGCCTTTCTTTATAACCAACCCGCTGTTTATTATGTCACCAATAACAAGGAATCTGCAACAGTAGTAGTTACCAGTTACCACTTTTTCTTTCCCTTTTCAAGGAGCACTAGAGCCATAACTCATGCTGAGTATGTTAAGGGGAAGTGGAGCATTAATATTATGCGCTACTGTGAATATTCCTCACTTGGGAATATTCGGCGAGGCCTCTTTGTCGTTTATCCGCAGGTGTGCGCCACTGAGCCTTCCAAGCTGAAATGAAATCAACAACTCAGTTGTCGTGCCGTCCATGCTTTGTTTGTTTGTTTGCCATGTAATCTTCATCGCTCCGCCATCGGAGAGAGAATTTTTAATTAATTTTGAAGAGAAGGGCTTGTTTGAAGTGTATCAGGACAACCAAAAACACTGATGGTTACTTAGCATGCAACAAAAAAGAGCGCAGACCATATTATTGACTGAGTTTTTCGCAGTACTGGCTTACCAACAGAAAGGCTTTTTCACAGTAAGGCTTACCAACATCGTACTTTAATTTTGTGCCCTGTCTTTTATTGCTCCCGCAGAAATTTTTTTAAAAAATTTTAATTAAAAACAACTCTCAACTCTAATTAAAAACAACATTTTTTTTCTGAAAACTAATCAATGTTAGTAGGTAATTATACGGAAAAATACGGAAGCAAGTGATCAGAAAATAAAATGAATACAAATTTAGAAAAACAGCCGGAAAACAATCACTAGCAATAAAGAAACAACCTTTCAAAATTTTCCGAGCGGTCACTTAGCCGACAAACAAGTGGGTAGACGCCCAGTACGCCCAAAACAAAAAAGGGCGTATAAAATTGTTGCCAAAATTGTTTTTAGAACAATATAACTCTGGAATCTGGCAACAAGCCCTACCTGAACTTTTGCCTGAACTTTTGCACCACAAAAGAAGGTAACCAAGTCGATAAAACATAAGACAAAGCCATTTAGACCGATGTGAAAAAAAAAACTAAAAGGAAAAACCAAGGAAAATAGACAACGTCAGGGCTATTAATTTTACAAATTAAACAATTAAATTCAAAACTCTTGCATATACGTTACAAATTGCTGACAGCTCAAGTCAAAATCCCCACGTGGCAACTAGCTCGACAAATCGTAGGCAGCGAAACGAAACTCCGCGATATTTCTATTTTCCCGGAATTTTTTTCCGTTTCATACATAATGAACTGAAAACTAAGCCCGACGCGGGCCCAAGCCAAGGAACTTAGGGTACAAAGGCAACCGTGTTACCTCTAGGCCAAGTTGGAAGGAGGGTCGAAAATGCTTAAGTTCATTTATGAAGCAACTTCACAAACTATTTCTTACAGATTTACAAGAACAGTAGCTCTCGCAAGTGTAACCTAGAGGAAAAGCTGAGCTTCGCCCCACTTGCGATACAAAAATGAATAATCTAAGTAAAAACTTGCGATAGTAAAAACAAATCATTTTTTGTTCCAATCAAAAATTGGAACAAAAACAACCTTCAAAAACAATTTTAAATTGCAAAAAACTTGTTGAACAAAAACACCTGCACCCTTAGAAAAATTAGAAAATGCTTTTAAAACGCTAACAAGGATAGTCGGTTACTGTTCAAGTAGCACATAACGTTCCGATCATGGTCTTCAAAAAATACAAAAGAAAAAATTGAAACTAGAGCTGTTTTCTGCGTGGTGAGATGAAAATGCCTGAACGAAAAACTGAAACAGGCATTTCGACAGCCATAGTAAACATTAGTTTTTGGAAAAATGACTGCAAATTAAAAACAAACTTTACTAGCTTTACTAGAGTACTAACTTTACTAGAGTAAAAAATAAGACATAAACAAACTTTGAAATCGGCCTATATTGAGCATAAATAAACCTGCGTTCTCGCTCGAAATTAGACAAAAAATGAAAATTTTCAAACATGTTTCTTTCGACACTGGGACACTTTTTTTGAAAAATTTTAGAACAGATCTAAACAAAAAATAAAACTTGGACATATTCGACAGTTATAGTAAAATGTGCAAACTGGAAAACAGTTTTCAAGGAAAAATTACAAGAAAAACTGAAAAAAAAATCGTAAGTAAATTTTTTGAAACAAGTTTTTTTTTCAGAAATTTTTTCAAATTTTTGATTTCAAAGATGGCGCTAAAAATTCCAACAACTAACTTTTCAGGACTTGTCGTTCAAATCACGGCTTACATGTCTTTTATATGATATATCACTCGACCCAGTACGCTAATTCTTTATGCCACCTGATTTTGCGTGAAAAAAAATGAAAAAACTAAAAAACACGAATCCAAAGCTCCTCCCAATATTAAAAAAAACTACCAAAGGTTTTTAATGAACAAAATAAAAAAATCAAATAGCAACAAAAATCGGCCAAAACTTCTGGAACTCAAAACCTGTACACAATGAATTAATTTTTAATTTAGATTTAAATGGCATATTTTTAGGCAAATTTAGTGCTGCTTGGTGAAAGTCTAAAAATTAATCAACCAAAACAAAACATCGCAATTAAAACTTAAATTATGCGAAAATGATTTGAACTTTTACAGACTTAGCCTAAATTTCTGGGCTGATTTGAACTTATTGTGTTTACAATTTCGATTTGATGCTAATAGTGAAAATAATTTCAAAAAATTCTGTTAGCCAAATTTTTCGATTCTGGAATTTGTGACATTTGAACAGAATGGAATGAAAGGCATGGCAGCAACGAATTTTAATTGGTAGCAGTTGAGTGAGAAAATTGGTTGCAAAGAATCAATTTGCGGTGACGAAGTAATTTTTGAAATTTCGTTCGAAAATAAAGACACCTCTTGACCTTGAAATTTTGCAACTACTAAAATCTTATTCATTTTCAGGATATGAGAAGCTAGGATTTCAGGGAAAGGGTTGATCCGTCTCCGATTCTAGAGTGAACTGCAAATTTGGATGAAGAGAATTGGCGGCATCGAGAAGACAACTCGGCTCCCCTCTGACTGTTCTAA